AAATGAGAATGGGATAATGAATTAATGTTTCATTAAAAGAACAAAATTTGAAAACTTTGCCAAATCCTTATCCACATGGAACTTTATGGTCCAGACCCTTGTGTAGTTATGCTGGTTTCACTGTTTCTTGAAGTTGGTGTAGCTGCTCCGGGTGCAGCGTAATTGTAATAACAAAAAGTTTAAATAAATAAATAAATAAATAAGGAAAATAAAAATCGAACTGGCTTAAGGATTAACTGGCACTACCGTTAAGCTTCAAAGTCGAGAGGTGGAGTTATCATTTGGGAGAAGAAGATAAGGAGGAAGCCAAAGTAGGAGGAAGGTTCGTGCAGTTTTTCCTTGCCGTGCGATACTTAATGCACCTGATTGGCCTTATTGCTTCTTATTCAAGTGATGATGGATAGGAAGAAAGGAGGATCGGCTTCGTGCGTTGCTACCGTGCGAAAGAGAAGCAACAAGCCTGCATCGTGCATGAAAGGAGGAGCGACGTCGTGTTCGCGTGTGGTGGAAGAAGTCGACAAATAAAAAGAAAAAGCCGAGGGAAGAGCTAAAGTGCGCAGCTCTCTCGAGAGGAGAAGAGGCCGCGTGCTGCTGGAAGGAGTGCAGGAAGGAGAGCCGAAGCTTTCAAGCTTGTTAGGAATTTAAGACCGAAAACTTAGGTGAGTTCAAGATTTTATTAAGCGGGATAAATACAAGTAATAATTGTCAATTCCGTCTTCTATATTGCGAGGGATTGAAGAATTTCTTTTTCAACAGATTTAAAATTTAGGAGAGTTATCACATCAAGCAAGGTGAGTAACTATTTTTTTATGCATTATATTAGTATTTTATTTGACGAATAATTATTTTATTAAATGGTTTAAAGAAAGTATATTTATTCATGTTTGATATTTTGAAAGTTTGAAACCTTATCACAATTCAGAGGAAAATGACTGATATATGAAAGTACATTTTAAAAGTATTTTAATTGATACGAAATTTTAAGTACAAGTTTGAAACGTTACCCCCAGATGATGTTGGTAGGGGAGACGATGTACCCGTGCACATTAAATGAAATGGTAAATGTGTACATTCGGGTGTAATTTTTGAGGGTACCAACGGGTAAAATTTTTTGGAGTACTTTGTGGTACATTTTTTAGGGTATTTTCGGGCATTACAGTAATCCTGTTATGTCACTTAAGGGGATTAAAATGATAAGTATTTAAAGTGAAATGAGAAGAAATAAAATTAACATGAAAGTTTAAAAGTTTTATAAATAAATGACAATATTTTCTTTAGTTATTCATGCATAACATTGACATAATAAGTTAATGTATATAAAGATTATAATTGCTCACTAAGTCAAACTTACTAATGAATTTAATTCTCTTTCAGGAAAATAAAATTTATAGGTTCATATATCTAATATGAGAAATTTTGTTTACAGGAGAAGGATCACCGTTGCTGGATATTTATGATTATAGTTTCTTTTTACTATTTCCTTCATATATTTTATATACTTTTTAGTATTGGCTTGACATGTTTTCCTTAGTTGTTTTTGGATGATTTATTTTTATTACGTTTTGTGGATTTTAGTGGCTCTTTTATATATTAGAAGGTTTTATAAATCTGTGGATAGTTATTTAAATGTTTTCATTGTTCGACCACAGTTCTTGATTTGGTTAATTCCAACCTATCAGGTCGGTTCGTAACAGTAACTACGCCGGCCATGGGCGTGGTTACGCCACCACAGCTGAAGTTTTGTTTTGGCATGATTATCCATGGATTTTTTGGCAAGAGCTTTGTAAGGAGAGTTTGGGCATGACTTAGGGTCTGTTTGGCGCAGCGTTTTCGCTGTTGCGCGGCATCCGAACGCGAAATTCGCTCGTTTGGGGCGACGTTGGAAGAGTGGCGTCCCGCGATTTTGATCGAAAGCCGAACGCCTATAGGAGCCCGCTTCCCAGATTTCGAACACGTCATTTTACCTCGTTGCCCTGACCGATCTCTTGTTCCTCCTCTTCGCCGACCACGCTACCGAGCTTCCCGATCGATTCCCTCTTTCTCCGACTGCCTTCTGCTTCTCTCGATCGCTCCTTGCCTCATCTTCGCCGATTCCTCTTCCGCGACCACGCGACCGAGCTTCCTGATCGTGTTCCTCTTTCTCTGACTGTCTTCCGCTTCTCCCGATCGCTTCTTTCCTCCTCTTCGCCGATTCCTCTTCGCCGACCACGCGACCGAGCTTCTCCCGACCGCGTTCCTCTTCCCCGATCTCTCCCCTTTCCTCGAACAGTTGGGTGACATGAATGTAAAGATTGAAGTTTAGGTGGTAGATATGTAAACACAAAAGGATTGAGTGGTATGTTTGATAATCTTTCTTGGTAATAACGTCGACCGAGTAATGCTCTTGACGTCAACTGAAGTTAGAAGTTTCTGGTAAGGTTTTGCATGGCTCTTTTAGGTTGGAATACTCAATTGGACTTTCTTTCTTGGTAATAACGTCGATCGACCGAGTAATGCTCTTGACGTCAACTGAAGTTAGAAGTTTCTGGTAAGGTTTTGCATGGCTCTTTTAGGTTGGAATACTCAATTGGACTTTTATTAGTAACAATGGTGTTATTCATGGAACCTTATCAAATTGCTACATTTGGGATTGATCACTTGATCAATCCCGGGATTTGAGCCCAAATCAGTAGAATTTCATTCAATATTTATGTGTTTACATATCTAATACCTTGAGTTTCAATTTCTTTATATATGCATCTTTTCACTCATGCACGAGAAGCCATTCACGTTGCAAACAAAGATTATGAAGCGGTCTTCACATTGCATAATATTGAGATGTGAATTTTTTTAATAACTAATATTTGATTAGTAGTTGCCCATCACACTTCTTTATTTGTAGTTCTGTGGAGTTTTGCTTTTACAGATTCAAGCTTAAGCAAATTTTCTCAGCTACTTCTGCATTAGAGGGCTATATTTGTAGTTCTGTACAAAACTTTGCTGTAGTTCTGTGGAGTTTTGCAGTAATTAATTCTTTTTTTTAGATTTTAAGATCTTTTGTATAGATCTTTTGATGCAGTTATGAAATGTATAGATCATTGTATAATTCTTTTTCTGTGGAGTCTGTGCAGAACTACAGCTATTGTATAGATCATTTCAGTGGTATGAATTGCTGCAGAAATGAAATGTATAGATCATATTTTGGTGATGCAGCTAGGAATTTTTTTGAGCTGCAGTTATGAAATGTATACAACAACAACTACTGCAATTAAGAATTGAAAAAATGAGGGAGATTTTGATGCAGTTATGAGCAGTTAGCCTTGGTCATTATATCCCCCTTCTTATCTACATTCATTTAGGTGTTTTTTTGATGCAATTATGAGTATTTATGGTGGAATGTTGACATACATATTGGATTCAGATTTTTGGAAGGTTTACAATATTTTTTGCTGTAGATTTTTATAAGGTTTACATACATAACACAGTTTTTTTATCTTTAGTAGCTTGCTGAAATTCTTCATTTTAGCCTGAAGAGATTCTTCACGTTTTAGATATGTCAGTACAAATGAACTGAGTGATAGAGAACTCTGTTTTCTGTAAGCATATTTTGAAAGTTGGGTGGAATGTGAAGCGCATGTGTTTCCCTATAACCAGTTTTGTTTTCTTTAAGTAGCTCTGCTTCCTTTTTTTTTCCTTAAAAGCAACTCTTTTTCCTATAACCAGTTTTGTTTTCTTGAAATTAATTATGATTGCTCGAGCTGCTGAAATATACGAGGCATTAAAAGTAGTTCTAAACTCTATCTTGGTATTGGATTGATACAAGCTTGTTTGTTCAAGGACCTGTGAGAGGAATGAGCCATGTACAGAAACCTCCAGTCCACACTTTTACATGCATTAATTATGTTTCTTATTTCTCTTCTCCCTACT